AATCCTCGAAAGTCAAAGGAAGTAAAATTTCAGTATTGTATAATGAGTGATAGTGGGTGTGGATGTTGATGTAGCTGTGGATGTGAGTGTGGGTGTGCGGGTGTAGGTGTGTGAGGTTGTGGGATGTAAGTGTAGGTGTGCATGATCAGAATTGATACGCATATACAAATCTACATCTACACCCACTCGCAGCCACGACCACATCCATACCGATCCACAGTCACACCCACACACCACTGCCACAGCCACACGCACACACCACCGACACACTCAACCACAGGTACACCCACACCCACACACACACTCAGCTCCACATACCACCCCCACTCTCACACACCCATACCCTCACACCCACACCTATCCACAGCTACCCAAACCCACACACACACATCCACACATATCCACAGCTACCCAAACTCACACCCACACCCACTATCACTCATTATACAATACTGAAATTTTACTTCCTTTGACTTTCGATGATTAACATCATTCAGAAAAATAAATGATATGCTTCGTTTGGGAATCGAACCCATGATATGATGACTAATTATCCGAACCAGTGCTCTAACCATTGAGCTATCGCAGCACGAGTAACATATCATTCATTTTTCTGAATGATGTTAATCATCGAAAGTCAAAGGAAGGAAAATTTCAGTACTGTATATTTACATATACTCCTTTCTATCCTTTAACATTTATATATATTCACCCTCTGATAAGAGGAGAATAAAATTCACCATCAATTTCACTTGGTAATAAATAGCATTGCTATATAGAAGTGCGTCGTACACATCGTGTCGACGTTAAAATTTTGATGATTTAACATGATTCAGAAAAATGAATGATATGTTAGTCGTGCTTCGATAGCTCAATGGTTAGAGCACTGGTCCGGATAACTAGTTATCATATCATGGGTTCGATTCCCAAACGAAGCATATCATTTATTTTTCTGAATGATGTTAATCATCGAAAGTGAAAGGAAGTAAAATTTCAGTATTGTATAATGAGTGATAGTGTCCCTATGAGTTGAAACTTATCGTGCGGGTTAAGCGCTCTCTTGTCGATTTCGACCAACTAATAAACAGACAGTGTAAATAATTTTATTTAGTGTTTTTCTCTGTACTATGCAGTTAGGTTCAGTTTTTCTATTTCTTGTAATTTTTCTAACTTAACTAAGAATTAATCATTTTGATTGTTCTTACGTTATTTAGATCATGGTATCTCCATCAAATGGGAGCCGTCGAATACTCTCGGAGATCAATCGATTGACCAATGATCCAGAAGTGAAATCATATTTTCATTATGAAAGTTCTGGTTATGAAAATAATGACCCAAGTAACCGATTCGTTATATATGGATATATATTACCACGAACTTTTCCATATAAGTATGGTTCATTCAAAGTAAAAATTAGACTACCTGATGCATTTCCATTTGAAATGCCAGAGGTAGTATTTGTAACACAAATATATCATCTACAGACTACGCATTGCGGTGCAGAATTATGGGGCCATTGTTGTGTTAGATGCGAAAATTGGAGGCCAACGACGACTGTATCTGAACTGATTAAGACTGTCGTAGATAGAATCGATCAAACTGATGCTGCTGCAGTTTCTAATCCTAGAAATTTTGAAGCTCATTCGCACTACATGAGGGACAACGATGACTATTGGAAGACCGTGATGAATATGATTGAAAAGCATGCGTATCGACGAACAGATGAACCGGTAATGTCATTAAAATTCATGGCAAAACGAATCTTACGTAGACAGATTGAATTTGATTCTGAAAAAATGAATCGACTTCCATTACCCGGAGTTTTGCGACAGTACCTTCAAATACCATTCGACCAGAATTAAAAATTTTTTAATCGTCCAACATGTTCTATTGGCTAAACTATTCGTACAGACAAATTTTCAAATAAATTCTAAATCTAGATTAGTTGAGGCTGTTGGTGTGGGTGTGAGTGTGGGGTGTGAGTATGGATTTACATGGATGAAAAACAGACTCATACCCACAAACACACACCCAGACGCCATTCACACACCCACTTCTACACCTACACTCACATCCACGCTCACACTCATATCCACGCTCACACTCATATCCACGCTCACACTCATATCCACGCTCACACTCATATCCACATCCCTTGTCAATTCGAAACCTTTAGGATTAATTTATAAATAAATACAATAGAAAGAGAACAATTTTCATCAAAAAAAAGACATAATGGCGAATGTTATTGTCTCCATGACCTTACCAAGATTTTAAGCACATATTTATTTGGCACACCCAAGATATACACAGACCAGTTATCTTTTCAAGATCTTCTCAAAATGTTGCTTATCGATCCTAGGATTTCAATGTCTTGCTTGCAAGATGTTCGACTAGAGAATGGATCGATTGTTTTGATTTTCTGCCAATATTTGTTCAATTAATTGTTGAAATGGTTTTTCTGTTGTGTTATTTGTTCAAAAACAATGATTTATAACAAAAAAGTATAATTTATCAAAACATTCATTTAGTAGTTGAATGCTGAATAACGGAAGAAGTTTTTTCAGCTATTTTATCATCAATTTGATAATCATTGATGATAGCTAAACATTAACTAAATGGTTCCAACGTTACGATTTTCATATGCATGTCGTTAAGCATCAAGCGAAGATTAGAAAAGTTCCATCTAACAGAAATCTTTTGTAATAACTCATTAGTTTTTTTTAGTAGTTTTTGAGGACTAACCTAGTTCTGAAAAAAACATTTTACTAATTAATTACCATCATTTCAATCTTAATTCTAGCCTTCACATGAGATTTTTGGATTTTTATTGGGATTCAAAATCCCGAAAATCCGCCGTTTCCCCCTTGCGTAATATACTTATCTAAGAAGAAAAAGGTAAGGCGCCAGGAATGCAAAATTTGAGCACTCTTTATTTTTAACTCAAATACACATCAGTAGATTCAGTTTTTTCTGCTGATTACGAATATGTCCTTATTTTTTTGATTTGGCAAATTTTCTCGGAGGAAAGTGCAAAATACTGAAGGGATGTCAAAATTTGCAAAAAAGCCTTGTTCTGGAAAAAACAAGGCTCAGTTTTTTGCCATTCCATTTCTCGTTTTTTTCGACATAATTTTCAGACTCCTCATATAAAATTGAGTTTAGAAATTTTGTCTAGACAAAATTTCTAAACTCAATTTTATATGAGGAGTCTGAAAATTATGTCGAAAAAAACG